CAAGAGTTCAGAGGAACTGATGCTTCGGCCCCTCACGCCCATCCACTCCTCCCAGGTGGGGAAATCCTCCCAGGCTCAGTTGCTGGTCTCAGACTCACCCACCTCATTTCCAGTTAATACCTGTTGCCATTTTGGGTTCTCTTATTCTTGGATCACAGATGCTCTGTTGTGCTTCCTTTTGCTTTCTGCCACACGCGTGTCAGTAACCCACAGGTCTTAAGACTATGAGTTTCCCCTGCCCACTGAATTTGGAGAGTGTGAGGCTACCTTGTCACCTACTTTGAAAATGCTCCCCTTGGGTTTGGCTGTCTGGCTGCTCTCACTGTAATGGGTATTGACTGGGGAGATCCAGAAGTGATGCTGCAACAACCTTCTCTGCTGTTTCCTCCCAGTCCCTCATGTCCATCTTTTTGATCTTAGCCATTTTAATGAGTATAAAGTGGTACCTGACTGTCGCTTTAATCTGCACTTCCCTGATGACTGTGACACTGAACACCTCTTTTCATAATGCTGACCCATTTATACATCTTTGGTGAAAGGTCTATTTGAGTATTTTGTCCATTTTGAAAATTGCGTTGTCTTATTATTATTAAACTTTAAGCAGTGTTTATACACTCTGGATGCAAGTCTGTGGCTTACTTTTTCATTTTCTCAATGGTGTCTTGAGCAGAAGCCTTTAACTTTGATTAAGTCCAATTCATTAAACTTTTATGACTAGTTCTTTTAATGAGTTAAGAAATCTTTGCCTATCCTAAAGTCATGAAGATATTCTCTTTCATTTTCCTCTAAATCTTTATAGTTTGTTTTTCTGTCTAGATCTGACCCATCTTGAAATACTTTCTGTGTATGGATAAGGCAGTGGTCAGATTGCATTTTTGTCCACAGGGATATAAACTTCTTCCACCACTCATTTGTTATATTTCTCTTTCCCTGGTGAATTGTACTGGTTCCTTGGCTGAAAATCAATTGCCCATACACATGTGGGTCTATTTTTGTTCCACCGATCAATTCATTACCCATAAGCCAATACCACAGTCAGTCTTGAATTGGCGCAAGTCCTCCCACTTCATTCTTTTCAAAATTATTTTGGCCACTCTTAGTCCTACGCACTTCCATGTAAATTTGAAAATTAGATTGTCAACTTCTACAAAAAGCCTACTGGGATTTTGATGGAGGATACCATTACACCTGTAGATCAAACTCTGAAGAATCAACATCCTAACAATATTGAGGTTTTTTTTTTTTTTGTGAGGAAGATCAGCCCTGAGCTAACATCTGATGCTGATCCTCCTCTTTTTGCTGAGGAAGACTGGCCCTGGGCTAACATCCGTGCCCATCTTCCTCTACTTTATATGGGACGCCGCCACAGCATGGTGTCACAAGCGGTGCATTGGTGCACACCCAGGATCCGAACCCGGGTGCCGAAGCAGAGCGTGCGCGCACTTAACTGCTTGAGCCACTGGGCTGGCCCCTATATTGAGTTTTCTAGTCATGAATATAGGATAGTTCTCCACTTATTTAGGTTTTCTTTAATTTCTCTTAGCAGTGTATTGTACTTTTCATTGTACAAGTCTTATACTTTTCATATGTTTGATGCTATTGTTAACTGCAGTTACAATACCATTATTTTCAATTTTTTTTTTTTTGTGAGGAAGATCAGCCCTGAGCTAACATCCATGCTAATCCTCCTCTTTTTCCTAAGACCGGCTCTGAGCTAACATCTATTGCCAATCCTCCTCCTTTTTTCTCCCCAAAGCCCCAGTAGATAGTTGTATGTCATAGTTGCACATCCTTCTAGTTGCTGTATGTGGGACGTGGCCTCAGCATGGCCAGACAAGCAGTGCGTCGGTGCGCGCCCGAGATCTGAACCCGGGCCGCCAGCAGCGGAGTGCGTGCACCTAACCGCTAAGCCACGGGGCTGGCCCCCTTCTTATCCTTTTTAATACCTGTAGAATCTCTAGTGAACTTGCCATTTTCATTCTTGATGTTAATAATTTCTGTCTTTTTTTGTTTTTGACTAGAGGTTTATCAGTTTTATTGATATTCTTAATCCAGCTTTTGGTTTCATCAATTTTCTCTATTTTTGTTTTCTATTTCATTCATTTGTTCTGATATTTAATATTTCTTCTGCTTCTTTGCCCTTCTAACTTGTTCTTCTTTTTATATTTTCTTAAGGTGGAAGCTTAAGTCACTGATTTTAAACTTTTATTTTTTTCTAATATAGGTGCTTAGTGCTATAAAATTTCCAAGTACTGAGTTAGCTGTATCCTACAATCTCTGATATGTTGTGTTTTCATTTTCAGTCAGTTCAAAATAGGCTTTGATTTGTTCTTTGACCCAACCCACAGGGTATTGCGAAGTGTGTTATTGGTAAATTTTCAAATATCTGAAGATTTTCCAGGTATATTTTTATTATTGATTTCTACCACTGTTATCATTGCTACTGATTTCTAATATAATTTGCATAAGCTAAATTTGTATAAATTTAGAGACTTGTTGGGCCGGCCCTGTGGCTTAGCGGTTAAGTGCGTGCTCTCTGATGCTGGCGGCCCGGGTTCGGATCCCGGGCGCACACCGGCGCACCGCTTCTCCG